ATATGAAATAGACAAAAGTGGAACTTCTCGGGATGAGAGTGGAGGACTCCCAATCCCACTCATCTGTCTTTCCTCATCTTTGTTTCATGTTTTGTTTTTTAATAAGCCAGAGGGAGTCTGCACTTGCCAGAGAGAAAGAGAGAGACACACGCAGAGACAGAGAGAGAGAAAGCAAGCACCGACCATTGGGGAAATGTAACACTGCAATCCCCTCTCCCTTTCTCCATTCTGTCGGGATTTGGGGCACGCACACAAGTTAAACGCTCACTGGTATCTCTAGCCATCCGTTCTTTTTTTCTCCTCTTTCAAAAAATTTATTATAGGGTGTGTGTGTGCTCACTAGGCAGAGACAAAGAAAGAGGAAAAATGAGAAAGTGCCCTCCAGAGAGGACAACCATGCTGCAATCCCTTCTCCTCCATTCTCCTCTTGGGATTTGGGGCATTCATACACACATGCCTGACATGCTTCTCAAGCCACTGGATCCAGGACTCAAACCACTCAGTTGGCCATGTGGGATCCGGCTGCTTTAATCACCAAGCCACCTGGCTGGTCCTCCATCCACTCTTTACCTCCTGTTACAATGGACAAGGTGGCCCACCTCCTGGCTAAGTCTAGCTCCTTTACTGATATTCTGAACTCTTAGCCTACCAGATTGGGGATTCTTTCTCATCAGCATTTGAATATACACAAACTTTCTCTTACTATATTCTTTTCTCCTCTTTACGGCCAAACTTTTGGGGAAGCATTATCTTCACACACTATTTTCACTTCTTCGTATCCTATTTGCTACTTAGTTCACTCCTAATCATCATCCCATGGGATATGATCCAGAAACCAATCTGTTTTCTGCCATTGGTTAAAACTTCTATCTTTAAACAATATAATTATTTGTTTAATTTTATTTATTCTTATTCTTGTTTTTAATTTGCTATAGGGCTCATGTGCTCACCAGAGAGACAGCAGAGACAGGGAGAGGGGGAGGGAGAGTGAGAAAGCAAGCTGCCAGGTCCGGGACTTGGACCATCACTGGCCATGTGAGTGCAGTGCCTTCACCACCAAGCCACCTGCTGACCCCCAAACTCCTCTTATTAAAATCCTCAACCGTTTCCTTAGGACTAAATTTGATACTCACTTTTTGTTCCTTCTCCTACTTCTTGGAACCACTCTCTCCTCTTTCTTTTTGAAATATAACCTCTCTCCTGTTGCACACACTCTCCTGGTTTTTCTTCTGTTTCTTTGGCTGCTTTGTTCAAGTTTCCTTGGAGGTGCTGTAATCATTTTGCATCCCACAGAGAGGCTTTCCTTGGGTTTCTACCTTCTCGTACTTTTATCAAGCAACATATAAGGCCATTTCATCCAATCACATGACTATTTCCCCCTTAATCCCTGATAGAGTACAGGTGCTCACAAGAGAGAGCATGAATGAGAGAAAGAGAGAGAGCAACACCTCTTACAGGTCTGGTCATGCAGCCATGTCCTTCCTCAGTCTTCTAGCCCACTGGATCTTGGGCACTTGTGCGTGCCTGCTGAGTTGCAGGCCAACCAGGCCAGAAATGTGAACCGTGGTTGTTGCATGGGATCCAGCTTCTCCTGAGCAGAGCATTACTGGTACACCACAGATCCAGCCCTGATTCATATGACCTTTCCAAAAGTGTAGAGAGAAAATGGGACCTTGCATGATTCCTCATCTCCAGTCTTCCCATCAGCCAGGCTCACAGACAAGTCCATGGATGTGCCCGATGTGTCTGGGTCAGCCAGGACCGGAATTCTGGGCATTCCCATACGGCTCCAGTTCTGAGCGATGGTATCCCACCATCTGTACCGCCATGGCTGGGCCCATTCTCTGGGTCCATTGATTTTTGCTACCATCAACTTGTTGATGAATCCTTCATTTATCTCCATCCCAGGCCTCTCTCCTGAGCTCTGAATCCATAAATCCAACTGTTTGTTGACCCACTTCATTTGGCTGTTCCAAAGACACGCCAAAGTCAATGTGTCAAAACCTAAAGTCCTTTTGCTCCTTCCTCAAAAATGTTCCCTAACTCAGGGAATGGCATCATCGAACCAGAAACTCAAGTTGTCTTTACCCTCTCCCCATACCCAGGCTGCTGCCTGCCACACAGTTTTCCACATTCTCTACATCCTCTTGATTTCTACCTCCTTTCAAGTCTATCCCCTTTTCTCCATCCCCACGAACACCATCATTTCTCACCCACATTACAGTAACAGTCTCCTAACTGGTCTTGCTACCTTCTTTCTTGGACCAATAAACGATTTCACCCAGAGCAGACAGAGTGATTTTTCTAAACAACAAACCTGTTTTTACCTCCTTCATGCCACTAAAGCCTGTGATAGTTTCCAGTTGTCCAAACTCCTTAATATAGACATTAAGCTAGAGCAGCATTGAGGTCATTTGGAGGAGCACAAACCAACCATGCTTTCTCTTGTACATGTCACCTATGTCCTAAAAACTATTCTCTCATCTTTCTGCTTGCCTCTTCTTTTTTAAATTTAATTTTATTTGTTATCATAATTTTTATATTACATTTAATCACATATATCTTTACAATGTATTACATTTCTTTTTCCAACATGACTACCATGCCTAGCAGTCAAGACAAAGACATTACTATCCACATCATCATCATCAAATAGCCTTTTCTGCTTGTCTCTTGATTATTCCTACCTCACTACTCAAGTTAAGTTGTCCCTTTAAGAGTGTTTTCTGATTCATTAGCCTGGCTAGAGCTCTTGCCTTGCGCTCCAGCACTTCTTTAGCTGTCTTCTGCCCTCAGACTATGTGGACCACAGGAGAGGCGCTGTCTTAGAGGGAGACTGGGACTGCCAACAGGATCCTGCCATGCCCTGATCCCTCAGTAGGTGGCGAGATGGAGAGGAACTGTGTCTTATTTTGATCCCTCAGTATCTACCTACCTGTAATACCTGGCACATGGTAGACACACATCTTATTGTTGAATGTGACTGTGTTATGGACCTGAAATAAGTAGAGGCTGAAAGGGGTGGACGGGAGAGAGAGGAGATAAGTGAGCAGGAAAACATTATGAGAAAAAGCAAGAGGGACGCACATGGCAGATACGTAGGCTTCTTGCAGTCCCAGCTATGGGCAGAAGTTTGGGACAAGTCATGGAAACAGGTGGCAGCAAGGAGTTTTTTATTTATTTATTTTTCGATAAATATTCTTCCTATAGGGTGCATGTGCTCACCAGAGAACCAGAGTCAAAGAGACAGAAGGCAAGAAATCACTCCCCACCCCCCGCCCTAGGGGAGATGGCCATGCCATAATCCCTTCTCCTTCATTCTCGTCTTGGGATTTTAGGCAAGCAGGCACATGTGTCCAGCATGAGTTTTAAGCTGTTGGGTCCAGGACTTGAACCACAGTCAACTATGTGGGAATCCAGCGATGTAATCATTATGCCATCTGCTGGTCCCAGCAAGGAGTTCTTGCGAGGGAAGCCCAGTATCTTTATCATGGCAAGGTTCCCCACCCGAGATGAATTAAGGCCACACCCTTGCTCCCTGTGGCGAGTATTCCTGCCAACTACCCCCAGATTAGCTGGGCAGCTTTGATCATTAATATAAATTCCTTCTCTGAAAACTTTGGGATTGAACCTCTCACTCATCTGTGGCTTATATATGGATTAGCTGTTCTGTCTTCCATCTCTGTCTCACCTGCTATAGAGACACTAGAACAATCTCCCCTGAGAACTCTAGTACACTATTACAGTGCTCAAGAACTAGACTTTGTTTTTCCTAAACCTAAATGCTGTGACCTGCCTTCTAGGCTCACTGCTCTTGCGACCACCATCATACCCCCTCCCCACCCTCTCTCCAATACAGTCTTCCCACTTCTGCAACTATAGTAGGTTTCATGCTTATAATCTTGGACTCAGAGCTTACTCTAAAGTAAAAAGCAACTTTTAAGAGAACAAAATTCAGAGAACTTTGAAATGGCAAAACAAGCTCTATCTCGGAACATTTATGAAAATATAAATTTGGCTACACCTACACTGTATTTCCTCAATTCATTGATAAGTGTATTCTTTAGTATGGTATATAAATCAAATTGACATTTATTGATTTATTTGAATTATTGAGTTCTAGACTTTTGTCCAGATAAAATTTGATTGTGTCTATCAGTTTTTGCACCAAAATAGAGTAAGACATTTGCCCAAGGCTTCAGATGTTTCTGTGAAAGATATTTTTGGCAGTAAAGTAGAAATACAAGACTTAAAGGACAAGAATAACAAAAAAAAAAAATTAAGGGTCTCAAAATTTAATTATTAGATACAATGTTAAATAAAACCAGCAAAACCAAATCTCTCAGTAGAGACTAATCTTAATTAGGTTATAAAACAAAACCAATGGGCCCGGCAGGTGGTGTAGTGATTAAAGGTGCTGGACTCCCATATGGCCAGCCGCAGTTCGAGTCCCGAACTTGGTTGCTTGCTTTCTCACTTTCCGTCTCTCTCTCGTTCTCTGATTAAAGTGGAAAATCACAATAATAAAAAAGTTAAATAAAAAAATAATTCTTACAACAAAAACAAAAATGTATGTGTACAGAAACAAGAAAAAAAATCAGGATGTTAACATCTTTCTCTGGTGTGAATTATCAGATATTATAATCTGTGTATCTCCTTCCCATGCTTTCTAGATTTTCTATAAAAAGCATATGTTTATTTTAAAAGGCAGGAAACAAAGTTTAAAATGCAATAGCGGGGTCATCAGGTGGCACGATGGTTAAAATGCTGAACTTCCACATGGTCCACCACGGTTCAAGTCCTGGACCTGATGGCTTGCTCTCTCACTTTCCCTCTCTCTGGTGAGTGCATATGCACTATAGCAAAATTTTATAATAATAAATAAAATTGAATAAATAATTCTTTAAAAAATGTAATAGCATACCAAAAGACAAACTGTTAGGCGAATGCTTATAACTAATTTTTATGTTCACATTATTTGGAAATGAATGTCAAATTCTTACCATGGTCAAACCAAATAAAATGCACCACTAAAATACTTAATGTGATATGGGATTCTTCTCAATTTACCCAAATTCTTCTTTCTCTTCCTTTGGGTTTTGAATCTCTACTTCCAAAATGGGTGGTTTACACACAAGATCTTTACAGGTATTCTCACTTGTAATTAAATTAGCAGTTGGTGTTTTTCCCCCTACAGTAATGTGATTTAACTGTTCAAATTCTTGTGAAAGCTCCAAGACCTGTAAAGTCAAGTGAAAAGATAAATATTCTGTTTTGCAGACTCACACGGATAGCTATGAAAAGGTACACTGACTCCATTAAATGCATAATTATTGGTTTAAATAATATAAATTAACAGCCTAATAAAGTCTTATTCCAATTTAATACATTCCAGTTGTTATATAACTTAATTCAGTTGTATCAAAAGCATAAGGGCATATAAATCAATAATTTTTTTAAAGGTAGTTTTGGGGGACCAGCAGTTAGCATAATGGCTATATCACTGGATTCCCATGTAGTTGACTGCGGTTCAAGTCCTGGACCCGGTTGGCTTAGACTCATGCCAGGCGCGTGTATATGCGTGCCCAAGATCCTGAGAGGAGAAGGGATTATAGCATGGCTATCCTAACTGGAGGGTGATTTCTTGCTTTCTGTCTCTCTGTCTCTGTCTTTCTGGCAAGCACATGTGCCCTATAGGAAAAAACCTCTCCACACACAAAAACATAATAGTTCTGGTCTCTGGAGTTGGCTTCTCAGAGTGTTTTTCAGAGTTTTGTTCTACCTTTTAATAAGAAAAAGATGTGACTTATGCAGTTTTATAATATTACTACATATTTTTGTTACCAAGTTTTGAATGTACTTTATTTATTCATAAAAGCATATATTATTGCAAAAAAAAAACCTCAGAAAGAATATTAGATAAGCATTACAGAGAAACTCTTTCTTTCAGTCTTTATTTGAAACACTAGAACTTGTAAAGGCTCCCGACTATCTAAGTGTCCTCAAACGTCTGCATAGAAAGCACCACCGGAGGAGTTTATCAAAACTGCAGTCCCGGGCCCAGCCGCGGTGGCCCAGGTGGAAAGGTCTACTGAACAAAGCTCAGGGCACACGGGAGGCTGGAACCCCAGACCAATCTCCACAGGTCACGTGTGGTAGCACGTGTTTGTAATCCTAGCTAAGGAGGAGGCTGGAGTAGAGGATCTCTATGGCTAGACCCTGTCAAAAATACTACCTGTCTCTCCTCCATGTTCCCCCTTTTTCTTTAAAGGCAGCCTTTTGTTGCAGCCCAACCCTGAGATTCAGAATCAGTGGTCTGGGTGAGAAATGGGAATCTGCACTTTAAAAAGCCTCCCAAGTGATTCTGATGCAAGGAGATGCTTTGAGAGTAGCTGTCCTGTTGTGTGATTTGGCAAAGTATTTGTTCAGGTTTTTTGTTTGTGCTTTTGCTTTTGGGCAAACAGATTCTGCAGACTTCCTTTACTCAAAGGTTACACTGTACAGCCTCATATAAAATGAAAGAACACTTCTTTCAGGGAATATAGAAAAGATGGGTGAGGAATGCTCTAAGACTACAAGATAAGGGAGCAGCAGGTGGCATAATGTTTATGATGCTGGACTCCCACATGGTTTACTGCGGTTCAAGTCCCCGACTTGGTGGCTTAAAATTCATTCTGGGTGCATGTGTGTGCATGACCAAAATCCCAAGAGGAGAATGGAGGAGAAGGGATTTTGGTGTGGCCCTCTCCCTAGGGGATGAGTTCTTGCTTTCTGGCTCTGTCTCTCCAGTGACACATCCCCGTAGAAAAAAATGATTAAAAAAAAAAGAAAAAAAAAAAGAACACAAGATGGGTGCCCATCAAAGTAGACAATATCCTGTCTGAGGTGCATCCTCATCTTATATAATTAAAGAATCAGAGAGTCAAAACAGAAACTTTCTTTCAAGGCAGAAACTTTTAATAAGTAAAAGTTTCATGAAAAACAGAATATATATAGTCTCACAAGATGTTTATTCATTGCAAAGATATAAGTAATACTTTTTCAGTGGGGAAATCTAGCAGGTAGCACCTTAACTAAATGATCAGTTAACATCATAAATTATAGAACAAAAATATCACATGTAGACCAGCAGGTGGAGTGGAAGGTAAGGCACTAGATCCCACAAGGCTGGCAGCTTGGTTTGAGTCCTGGACCTGGGGGCTTGAAAATCATGCCAGGCATGTGTGTGTGCATGTCCAAAATCCCAAGGGAAGAGTGGAGGAGAAGGGATTGTGGCATGGCCACACATGCCCCTCCCCCCCATGGGTTGATCTCTCGCTTTCTTTCTTTCTGTCTGGTGAGTGCATGTGCCCTACAGGAAAAAAAAAAAAAAAAGAGAGAGAGAATAATACATTTCTTTAGGATTCCTGCCACAAATGGGCAACCTGAATTACATTCCTGCCAAAAATGGGCAACCTGAATTATCTTGTGAGGAAGCATCAGAACTCAGATTGAACTGCAATCTTCAAAATAAGATGGTCTATACTTGTTACAGACCACATGTTTGTATTCTCTCAATAGTTATACGCTAAAGTCCTACTCTGAATGAGATGGTAATAGGAGAGACCTTTGGCAAGTAATTAGGTCACAAAGATGGACCCCTCAGGATGGGATTAGTTACTTTATAAGAAGAGACAGGAGAGGATGTGCTTCCTGCTCTCTGCTCTCATCCCTGTGAGCACACAATGAGAAGACAGCCATCTGCAAAGACATGGGCCCTCACCAGACACCCGATCTGCTGGCACCGTGATCCTGGACTTCCCAGCATCCAGAACTGTGAAAAATAAATGTTGTATAAGCCATCTGGTCTATAGCATTCTATTATAGAAGCCTGTACTAAGACAGGCTCTTAAAAAACATGGTTAGGGCCAGCCCCATAACGCAGTGGTTAAGGAAGCTGGATGCCACATGACTAACTGCAGTTCAAATCCTGACCTTGGTGGCTTAAAAATGCATGTGTGTGCATCCCCAAAATCCTAATGAGGGGTCAGTAGGTGATGTGGTGGTTAAGGTGCTGGATGCCATATGGCCAACTCCATGGTTTGAGTCCTGGACCCGGTGCCTTAAAAAACACACCAAATGCTTAGGTGTGTGCCCAAAATCCTGAGAGGACAATGGAAGAGAAAGGATTGCTGCATGGCCATTACCCCTGGGGGGAGGGGGAAAGGTTTGTGTAATTCATTGTTCTTTCTCTGTCTCTATCTGTCTTTCTCAGATGAGTGTACATTTTCTACGGCAAAAATCTAACAAAAAAACCAAACCAACAAACCAAAAAAACCCAATCCTAATGGGAAAGAGGGATGAAGGACAAACGCACCCATGGAGAGGGGTGCTTTCTCTCTCTGTGAGCACATGTACTCTCTGGCAATAAAAAAAATATGTACATCAACATCATAAAGACAGACGGAGGAATTGTAGGTATAAAGGAGCTATAGAGATATGACAATTACATAAATGTATGACTGTGGATTGGATCTCAGACTAGAAAAAATATATAGTTTTTCTCTTGTTGTCAGGTGGGATCATTGGTAAAATCTAAATGTGAGCTATAGATTCGAAAAGAGTATGTGTCAATGTTAATTTCCTGATTTGGGGACTCGTACTATGGTAATATAAGAGATGTCATTATTTGCAGCAAACACACATAGAAATATTTAGGGGCAAATGAGATTATGTCTCTAATTTATTCTCATAGGCTCTACCAAAAAAAGTGAAGTGTGTGAGTGTATGTGTGTGTGTGTAGAGAGAGAGGGAAAAAGATAATGATAAGGCAAACATGGTACCGTATTAACATTTGGAGGGGATAAAGTTTATGGGAAATATGTGTACTATTTTTGTAACTTTTCTGTAAGTCTGGAATTATTTCACCATAAAAAGTTTAATAAACAGGACCTGGAGATAGTGCAATGATTATGTTGCTGGACTCCCACGTAGTCAACTGCAGTTCGAGTCCCAGACCCAATGGCTTAAAACTCATGCCACTCGCATGTGCGTGTGTGCTCCAAATCCCAAGAAGAGAATAGAGGAGAAGAGATTGAATTGTGGCTACACCCCCAGGGGAGTGGTTTCTCACTATCTGACTCCCTGGTGAGTGCACACACCCTATAGCAAAAATCAATCTAAAAAAAAATAGTTTAAAAAACAAGACGAGAGTTAAGCTACTGAGATAGTGATCTGGATCTCTTAATTTTATATTTTTATCACCTCAGTTCACCCTTTGTCCTAACTTTTTCAGCGATAAAGACAGGGTGATTTAACTGTGCAATGTGATGATGACTCACCAGGTTGACACGGCCTCAGGAACAGAGCTCAGTGTGGGCTATGCCCTAGTAAGATACCAGTCCTCCCAGGCAGCAGATCCTATGTCTGGGGCCTTTCCTTCCCTATGTCACACACTATCTGACCCATGTCCTAATTCCTCAGCAACCTGCCTCTGTTTTCCAGGGAAATAGCTACAGATAAAATAAATTAGGTTTTGATTTAGTTCTGTACTTCATACATGGTGTTAAAATATAATCTGATACATCTTTGGGCATGGTGGCACCTGCCCTATGGCAAAACATAATCCAATACATCTTAACTGCTATGTTCAAGCCTTCACTCCTTAGTACTATGTTACACTTCATTTTTAGATCAAGAGAGTGATTTTTAGTCAGGAGAATATAACGGTAACCTGAAAAACGAAGCTCTAGAAATAAAACTACAGGCAATCTCTGCATATAGTATTGGACTAACACTGGTTTGGCAGTCATTTTTAAATTGGGGTCAGGACATTTAAACATTTTCTTAATTCCAAGTATAAGTCAAATTTTCAGTGTAACTAAGAAGGATACTTGACCCTACGTGTTTACGTTGAAGATATTTTTTTCTAGAGAGGTTTTGTTTTGTTTTGTTTTGTTTTGCTATAGGGTATGTATACTAGCTAGAGAGACAGAGAGATAGAAAGTGAGAAATCATCCCCAGGAAGGATGGCCACGCTGCAATCCCTTCTCCTCTGTTCTCCTCTCGGGATTTTGGGCATGCACACACATGTGCTTGGCGTGAGTTTAGGTTGCTGGGTCCAGGACTCAAATTGTAGCTGATTACATGGAAGTCCAGTGACATAACCATTATGCCATCTGCTGGTCTCTAGGTTGAAGATTTTTAAATAAACCTTTTATACTATAACATGTGCTCTAAAAATCAAGAGCATAGGAAGCTGATTTAAAGTAAAAAAAAAAAAAAAAAAATTCACACATTAACAGTAATTACCGAGTTCTGGTTGAAGTCTGAATACTGCTGAAATATAGATTGCGTTATAACTCACACTATCTGATAATTTATTATATAAAAATAAGAGAAACTCTAATGCCCAACTCGTTTTTTACTGAAAATTAATTCCTTTTATCTTATCTTCATAAAAGGTATGTGAAGTAGCAAACATTTAAATATAGTCTCACCTTTGTTTCTAATTCAGAATTCTCTCTTTGTAGCCGGTCATATGCTATTAAAAAATGGTCTCTGCCTTCTGCTGCTCCTGGCAGACTTTGAATTTCTTTATAAAGGTCTACAAGTTCTGATTTTGATTTTTGCAACTCCTGATTAAGAAATGAAGATATTTAGTAATATAAGACTATTTCCCCATAGAAGTTTTCTAAAAAGAAATCTTGAAATGGTCCTGAAATTTTTTTTGTTTTAAATTATTTCAACCTATTCTTCTGGCAAACAGATTTTCTTTCTTAGTCATTGAAACAAAGTTTATTTAAATCAGTTAATTAAACTGAGCATTTTTAGGTTTTTATCATTCACAGGTTGAAATACTAGGTTTCCAGAGTCATTCCTACCTTAAGCAAGAGATGTATAGAGATAATTGTTTTTTTGGCGGAGGAGCGGGGAAGAAATTCCTGCATTAAAATGTTATATTATCTCATTTTTCTAAAATGATGCTACCTTACTTAATTATACTTAGTGTTTTAATCAGCTAGGGTTGCCTCTAGCCCTCTGATTTTTTACTTGTATCAGTATTTTAGTTGGCTGTAGATTTTTTAGCAAATGCTAATATTGATGACATGGAATGTGCAGTATCTTGATTGATGGATGACTGGGACTGAATTATGTGGACCCAGGGAAGGGAACAGGCTGGATAACATTTACATTAGCAGAGGAGATACTTGGTATTCTCCTAAAACCTTGAAATCAGAGCCAGAGGAGAAAGCTGATGAGAAAGGCTTTGGGCAAAATGATGAGTCTATCCACTCAAAACTCAAAACCACAGGAAGAATGCAAGTGGTATCAACTTTTTATTTCATTCCTCGGCAAATTCCTGTATTATTAGGAGAGGATTGGGGCATTACACCACACTGCAAACTGAGTAAGCATTACCATCCTTTAAATATGGTCTAATGATCTAGATGCCCATGAACTCGCTTTCATCCCTTTCCAACATAAAGGCTGCCTCATGATAGATTTTGCCAAGATGGCAGGACAAGAGGTTAAAATGATACACAAGTCCATCACTCTATGAACGCCGTAACAAGTAAATACCTGCTACTTAAAGATTGATTGGCTACTGCTAGAACTTGACTTGAGGAAACAACCGAGCTACCCGCGATCATTGCTAGAAACACACATTCTATAGTGCTATGTATAGAATTTTGTCCCTCCCATCCAACTCATATGTTGAAGTCCTAATCCCCATTATGACTGCTCTGTTTTCAGATAGTGTGGATGAGAAGGTGATAAAGGTCAAATGAGGACATAAGGGTGGAGCCCTAATTTGATGTGGTTGGAACCTTTACAAGAAGAGGAAGGGATATCAGAGCTTACTCTACATCCCACCACACGTTAGAACACAGGAAGGAGGTGACCATCTTCAAGCCAGATGAAGGCACTTACCAAGAACTGAACTGGCCAGCACCTTGATCTTGGACTTTCTAGCCTCCAGAACTGTGAGAAAATACATTTCAATTGTTTTAGCCACCTGGTCTGTGGTCTTTAGTTATGGTAGCTCAAGCTAAGTCATATAGTCATAACTTATTTAAAAATCAAAGTAAATAACAACATGAAATTCCTAAATTAGGCCTGCAACAAGAGGAAAACAATATCGGGTAATACCTCACTTTCAACTTTCAAGGCTTTCTGTACAGTATTAAGGCCAGATGCCAATTGCTTTCTCCTCTCTCTGTCTTCTGCCAACTCAACTTCAAGTATTTCCATTTTTTCATGGCTCAGTTTCAATATCTGTAAAATCATTTTATATAATTAATTCCATGTACAAATCAGTGTTTCCTGTAAATTAAAAAAAGAATCTTTTGACCGACTCAATTTTAAAGTTATCTAAGAGATACAGGCACGTAGGAAAACTTGTCCAGGCTACCATAGCTCATGAGATAACGTTTTTCTCTCCAAATGTGTTTACACAACTGTAAAATGTAGTAATACTTATCCCTCCTACATTACAGCAATCATAGTAGAAATAAAATGTGATTTTGAAAGTAGTGCATACATTTTAAACAGCTACCAAATAAAGTATTGTTGAAATCTTTCCAAATTGGGACCAGCAGTTAGCGTAATGGCAATGTCGTTGGACTCCCACGTAGTCGACCGTGGTTAGTGTCCCGGACCCGGTGGCTTAAAACTCACGCCGGCACGTGTGCGTGCGTGCCCAAGATCCCGAGAGGAAAATGGAGGAGAAGGGATTGTGGCGTGGTCATCCCCCCTGGGGGGTGATTTCTCGCTTTCTGTCTCTCTGTCTCTCTCTGTCTGTCTGGCGAGCGCATGCACCCTATAGCAAAAACCTCTCAAAAAACAAAACAAAACAAAACAAAACACACAACAACAAAAATCTTTCCAAATTAACTGATGACAATAATAACTGGAGTAATAATGACAGCAGCCTCCATTTGTTGAGGGCTTACCATATATCAGTCACTATGGTAATAACTGGAAATACATGAGCTCATCTTTTTTTTTTTCATTATTTATGATAAAACTCATACATACAAGAGAGACAGAAAGAGAGAACAAACACCCTCCACAGAGTCTGATCATGCCACATCCCCTTCCTGCAGTCCTGCAGCCTATCAGAGTGTGGGAACCCATACACGTGTTTCAGGCTAACCAGGCTGAGGATTCAAAAGGCAGCGGCCATGTGGGACCTGGCTTCCTTTGAGCAGCACATCAACACTGTGTCGTGAAGCCGGACCATGCGTTATCTCATTTTGTTTTTCCAAGCTCCCTATGAGATTGAAGCTATACTATTATTACATTTGTTTTACAGAGGAGATAGGTAAGGCTGCAAGTCTAACTTAAAAGCCCTTATTTCTTATCAGTTTTCTTTAGGTTTTTGCTTTAGGGCACGAGAGAGAGAAAGCGAGAGAGACAGACAGACACAGTGAGCAAGAAACTGAGAAATCACCTCAGGGGGGCACTGGCCACGCCACAGTCCCTTCTCTATTCTCCTTCTGGGATCTTGGGCACACATTCACATGTGTCTGGTGTGATTTTGAAGTCATCGGGTCTGGGACTCAAACCGTGGTTGGCCATGTAGGAGTCCACCAACATAACTGCTATGCCATCTGCTGGTCCCCCTTAGTTTTTTTTTTAATCATTTTATTTAGCTTTATTTATTTACTTACTTATTTTAATTTGACCAGAGAGGGACAGAGCAAGAGCGCACGCGTGTGCGAGAGAGAGGGGGGCGGGGAGTGAGAAAGCAAGCTGCCAGGTCTGGGACTTGAACTGTGGCCGACCATGTGAGAGTCCAGCACCCTTAACCACCATGTCACCCGCCAGCTCCACTTTTTTTTTTTTAAGATTTTGCCACAGAGAGTGTGCGCTTGCCAGAGAAATGGGGAGGAGAGGGGAGGATGAGAAATCACCCCCAGGTTGGATGGCCATGCCTCAATCCCTTCTCCATTCTCTTTAGAGTTTTTTTGGTTTTTTTTTTTTGTTTGTTTGTTTCTTAAGGCTTTTGCCATAAGGCACATGACTTGCTAGGCTGGGGCGTGGTGGGTAGGGAGGAGGGAAAGGAAGACTCCAGTGGGACAAGATCTCATCACAATTCCTTATCCTGCATTCTCTTCATTCTGTTGGGACTTGAGGCATGCGCACACACACACACACATACAAGATCAGTATGTTTTTCAAGCAACAAGGGCCAGGATTCAAATCGCAGTAGGCCATGTGGGATCCACCTCCCTTTACGACTAGTTACAGGGCCAGCCTGATCCTCATATGTCTCTACTGCTATCCTCCCTGACGGAGACTCCTGAGAAGCCCTCTCTGTAACAAACTGATCACAATCATAAGGTACAGACCGACCATTCTTGGATGTGTTCTTTCTCCTGTTTCCAGTAATATTCTTGAGCATCCTTATGGGATGCTCACTTGTATTAGAAAATGTAACTGAAAATGGTCTTTTCATTTCTTACCTCATTTAAATCTTGTATTTTAATTGTCTCTTGACCTTTCATACTGGTTTCTCTTCTGTCTTCCTATATTGCTGATAAATCGAGTTCTAAGATGGAAATTTTAATCCACATAAATCATCAGTTGAAGTAGGTGCAGGTGTTATTTTTTAAAAATACATGAAATATAAGTCCAGCTGTAACTTTTTTTTAAAAGATTTATTTTATTTTATTTATTCATTCATCTATTTTAATTTGACCAGAGAGAGAGAGAGGGAAAGTGAGAAAGCAAGCTACCAGGTCCAGAACCTGAACCACGGTCAGCCATGTGGGAGTGTCCAGCACGTTAACCACCATGCCACCTGCTGGTCCCCAGTCCAGCTGTAACTTTTACAACTCCTCCTGTCTGGGAAGGACACAAGGCCTGGTAAAGAACTCTGTCACCTAGAGCACCACACAAAGGTTTGGGGAAGGATGTCTTTTTTCCCCCAGAGTAGCTAGTCCCTCTTCCCAGCCACCATCTGCAGTGGTGAACATTCTGCAAACCTACACATGACATGCTGGTGCAGTCAGTACTCAACGCAAGAGTCTCTTAGCCCCATCTTACACTACTTGAGATGTCTCGGTACCAAGTAGGGAAAATACATCAACTCTTTTTTTTTTTTTTTGGAGAGATTTTCACTGTAGGGCGCGTGCGCTTGCCAGACAGAGAGAGACATAGAGACAGAAAGTGAGAAATCACCCCCCAGGGGGGATGGTCACACCGCAATCCCTTCTCCTCCATTCTCCTCTCGGGATCTTGGACACGCACACACATGCACCTGGCATGAGTTTAAGCCACTGGGTCCGGGACTCGAACTGCAGTCGACTCCGTGGGAGTCCAGCAACTTCGCCATTATGCCAACTGCTGGCCCCAATACCTCAACTCTTAAAAATGAAAGCTCCCCTCATTTTTTGGTATATTTCTTTAGTATAAGAATGCCATGTATTTTAATGTTAATTTCTAAAAGAAAAGTTTTTCTAAAGAATATATATTTACAATTTACTATAATTTCTGGCGCACTGAATATAATTATGTATTTAAGTCATTCATGTACTTCATGAGACTAGTGACCAAAGTTTAAGGTAAAAAAAATGCAGAAAAGGGGCAGCAAATACGTGAGAAATGAGCAGTAGAGATCTCTGGGTAGCTGGAGGGAGCCCACCTCACCTGTCAGCCAGTAGTGGACCACGAGCACGACTAGTGACTTTTCAACAAATTGTCTCAGCACAGCAGGGCCACCAACGACTCTGGAGAGCAGCATAACAGCTCAGAATGTCCCTCATCCAACGTTCTACCACCTGAAAGGCAGGCGTCGCCCAAACCTCTGAACTAAGCCGTGCCTCCCAAGGGCAGTGTGACAGGTTGTACTGCCGTCTCCCTACGGGCTTGCATTTGTGTTGCGCTTTTTCACGGCACAGTCAGCTGAGACGCTGAATGCAGGTACCAGACGAAATAAAGCATGTCGGTTAGTGTTCTGGGTAGAGGCAGTTTCCGTGCTTGGTGATGGGCATGCTCAGGCCCCGTTATAGCATTATACTATAGCATTATACTAAGCCCCCTTTACAAACCTCCTCTGTAAGTCTCCACAGGAGTTGGTATGCTGTAGGCAACGTGGGCCTAATTAACCTGGATCAACTCCTGGCTCTGACTATTTTTTTAAAAAAGAATTATTCTTAGTTAACTTTGTTTGTTTGTTTATTTGTTTTAATTTGATCAAAGAGGGACAGAGAGAGAGAGAATGAAAGAAAGTGAGACAGCAAGACGCCAGGTCCAGGACTCGAACCGCGGTCGGCCATGTGGGAGTCCAGCGCTCGTAACCACCATGCCACCTGCCGGCCCCCTAGCTCTTACTTCGGTCACGTTCCCCAGAGTTCTCACGCATATAAAATAGAAATTCTCCGTTTTATGTGGGAAGGGCTATTACAGGGAACACCTGAGATTATGTTTGTGAAACACCTAGAACAGACCGTGGCACAGGATGGATGTCAGCTATATTGTGGCGATGATTATCCCTGCCAACCTGGAATGGTGAGAAGTCGGAATCGAGGGCAGGTGTCTGATGGCTCAGCTCAAGCAGGCAGGCAGAGAGAGCAAGTTTTCTGTTTGACCTTTTTGTTCTTTCCAGGCCTTTGATCAATTCGATGACCCCCCACCCACACTGAGAGGGTAATCTGCTTTACTCCATCTACAGAATCACATGCTTATTCATTCTGGAAACACCCTCACAGGCACACCCCAAAACAATGCTTAGTCAGGTACCTGGATACCACTGTGGCCCAGTCAAGTTGTTTTATAAAATTAAGCATCATACTATCCTTTTACATCCTTTTTTGTAGTAAACAGAAAATAGAGCTCAGAACTGACTTCAAGAGGCACTGAAGTGCCCATCTAATCGCAATCTGGAAACAAGCTCAGGGGAGAGACTGTCTGTCACTCCTGACCTACTGACCACCAGTATCAAACTATCTGTCTTATTTTTTTAAGTTTATGTATTTTTATTCATGTGAGTGCATGAGAGAGAGAGAAATATCCACGACAGGATCTTATCACACTGGGACCCCTTTCCCTAGCCTTCCAGCTCAGCAGGGTCTTGGATACACACTCACACATCTGACCTGTTTCAAACTAACCCAGGGCTCCCAACCTGCAGTCAGTCATGTGGCTTCCATGAGTGTAGTTCAGTTTTCTTCTGACCACACCACCCAGCTAATAAAAAAAAAAAAAAAAAGAACAAAATACAAACCACTAAACTATTTGTCTGTATGACTTTGCAGTCAATCTGTAAAGAGGAATACATAAATAAATGCCTACATATATAAACATATAAACATGCAGTTGTATAAATATATAACTATATAATAAATATAAATACATATTTATATAAAAATAATTATTTCCATATCCAAAGGATGTGTGTGTTCACCAGAGAGAGAAAGGGAAGAGAAAACAGCCCTCAATTGGGGGCGACCATGCTGCAATCGCCTTTTTTTAAATTTTAATGTGAATGGGGAACCAGCAGTTAGCGTAATGGCTATGTCACTGGACTCCAACGTAGTCGACCGAGGTTCACGTCCCAGACCTGGTGGCTTAAACTCACGCTGGGCGCGTGTGCATGCGTGCCCAAGATCCCAACAGGAGAATGGAGGAGAAGGGATTGCGGCATGACCATCCCCCAGAGGGTGATTTCTCGCTTTCTGTCTCTCTGTCTCTCTCTGTCTGGCGAGCGCACGCGCCCTATAGCGAAAAAACCTCTCAAAAAAAAATTTTTTTAATGTGAATCAAATTTCCCAAAAGGGGAATTTTATTGATTACTTTATTCCTTCACAAAAAGACCAACTGTCATCTTCATAATAAAAAGATGAGGCTTAGAACTGGATCATGTGACCCTTTCTCTTATGTCCTCCCAGTTCACAATGCTTACATCTCTAATAGCCAGCGTTCTCTTAGATCTGCAGTTGGGCTCAACACATTCAAGCCAGCACAATCTTCTTTGTAGTTTTTGCCTTTTTCTGGAAAACAGGCTTAGTCTGTCCACCACAGCCACTCTGCCTCCTGTCATTACACCGCTGTCCCTGAGCGCACAGAGAACCGGTGCCCTTTTTGTACTGTGTCACTGTATGAGGTTGGTACTTGCCACACTTCTTACAGAAGGTCTGGCCGGTTTTAGGGACGTTCACCATGCTTGCGGGCCTGCTATCTGCACAGAAAGAGCACAACCCTTTTTCTACTACTTCACCATCTAGTTTGACTTTTGGGTATACATGCACTGATGTCTGGTGTGGTTCTCAAGCTGCTAGGACTAGGATTTGAACTGCAGTTGGTCACATGGGATCTGGCTCTCTGTGTCCCACTGAACCACTGTGCTGTAGGGCTGGCCCAGTAAAGAGGAATTTAAAAATAGTTTTAACCAGTACATATGGTAAACTTGATTAAAGTCTAGTTTCCCAGGAAACTACACTGAAAGATACACATATTAGGACAGATAAAATTTCATGTATTTGCTAAAAAAGTCAGACAAAATATAGCTACTTCCAACATTCCGTAGAACATGAGATCTAAGCAATCTCTCCATCTGGTAAGAGGAATAAAACTTGGAAATCCACATATTTCTTTCAATGTGACCATATTTATAAATAAGACTTTTTTCCCCCCAATGAACAGAGAATACATGTGCTCAACAGACAGAGAGAGAAAGAGATAGAGAGAGAGAGAAAAATCACTCCCCAGTGGGATATGGTAATGCTGCAACTTTTTTTCTTCCATTCTTCCTTCCCTTTAGGATTTTGGGCACACACACACACACACACACACACACACACGCACACACACTCAGTGTGTTTTTCAAGCTGCTGATCCGTGCTACACTATAGATGAATCTTGAATATATTATGTGAAGTTAAAGAAGCCAGACATGAAGGTTCTATGTTGCATGATTCCATTCATGTAAAATGTATAGGATATGTAAATTCACAAGACATAAAGTAGTAGCTTAGTGTTTGCCAGGGGCTGGGAAAAGAGAATAGGGGAAGACTACTAACAGATATGGAGCTTCTTTTTGTGGTAATGAAAATGTTCAGAAAGGGGCCAGCAGATGGCGTGGTGGTTATGTCACTGGACTCCCACATGGCCTTCTATAGTCTGGACCTGGTGGCTTGCAACCCACACTGGGCATGTGTGTGTGTGTGTGTGTGTGTGCGTGCGCGCTCGAGATAATAGGAGAATGGTGGAGAAGGGATTGCAGCATGGCCATTCCCCCTGGGGAGTGATTTCCTGTCACTATGTCTGTTTGTCTGTCTCTCTCTTTCCAGTGAGTACATGCACCCTTAGGCAAAAACCTCTCAAAAAAAAAAAAAAAGAAAAGAAAAGAAAATGTTCTGGAATTAGATGATAGCGATAGTTGTACAACACTGTGAATATACTACAAATTGCTGAATAGCACACTTTAAAAGAATGTGTAAATTCAGGTGCATAATCATATATATATATATATGTGTGTGTGTGTGTGTGTGTGTGTGTGTGTGTGTATATATATATATATACATTATATATACACGCACACTCAGGTTTTTCCCATAAGGGCATGTGCACTAGCCTGAGAGAGACAAAAAGAGATAGAGAAAGGAAAAGCAAGACATCACTCCTCGGGGGGATGGCCATGCCACAATCTCTTCTCCCCCATTCTACTCTTGGGATCTTAAATATGCACGGACGCAAGCCCAGCATAATTTTCACACCACCAGGGTCCAGGACTTGAACCATGGTCAGCATGTGGGAGTCCAGGGCCTTCACTACACCACCTGCTGGTGTGTGTGTGTGTGTGTATGTATGTGTGTGTGTGTGTGTGTGTGTGTGTGTGTGTATATATATATATTCTATATTCCAATGAGGCAGTTTATTTGTATGTGTGTTTTACATCCCTACAAAAAGAATCCCAGGATTTTCCCTTCTATATGTTTCCATCTTTCTTGCTTCTTCATGGTTCATGATGCAGCTGAGGTTGTCAGTACAATTAAATCAAATGGATGGGATGGGAGCAGATTACTCTGCCAGTTCTCTAGATCTTTGAGTCATATATCAAATCTGAGACTGGTCATTCCACAGTTGCCTAACTGGTCAGTGAGGTTCACGACAATTTTTCCAGCTCTGTGGTCATCGATGATTTCAAATTCACCAATGTAATCATGCTTCATCATCATAATTAGAAACTGGACAATGACTTTGGAGCATGGCCTAATAAGAACCTGGCATTTGCCTCTCTTCCGGCATTGATGTTGCACTTGAGAGCATCAACCAGGACATTCACGAGCACCATTATGGTGTCACAGAAGGATGGCAGAAAGAGAATGGGAGGGACAAGCACACAGAGTTATGGGTCATTATTTTTTAAATGACAAATAAAATAAAACATGTGTAAGATCTGTAGACTGAAAGGTACAAAACATTGTTGCGATAAAGAAGATCCAAATAAATGGAAAAATATACCATATTCATAGATTAGAAAGCTAAATGTTACAATGTGAATTCTCCCTAAATTGGTCTCAAGATTTTACCCCATCCCAAATGAAATCCTAGCAGGCATTTATGTCAAAATTGACAAGCTGATTCTAAAATGTATATGGAAATGCAACAGATCTAGAATAGCTAAAACAACTTTGGGAAAAAAAAAAATGTTGGAGATGTGGGGCCAGTGAGGGTGTGGTGGTTAAGGTGTTGTACTCCTGCATGACTGATTATGGTTTGAGTCCTGGATCTAGTGGCTTGCTTCCTCATATTCCTATTCTTTCTGTCTCTTTCGGGGAAGTACATGTGCCCTACAGCAAATTAAATTATAATAATAAATAAAATAAAATAAATAATTCTTGTTTAAAAAAGCAGAAACAAAGGTTGGAGATATTGTACTTTCAAATTTCAAGATTTACAATAAATCTACACCACAGGATGGCTCTTTTTTTTTTTTTTTTTTTTTTTTTGAGCGGTTTTTGCTATAGGGCACATGCACTCACCAGAAAGACAGAGAGAGACAGAGAGACAGAAAGCGAGAAATCACCCTCCAGGGGGGATGGCCACACCACAATCCCTTCTCCTCTAGGGATCTTGGGCAAGCATGCACATGTGCCCAGTATGAGTTTAAGTCACCAGGTCTGGGACTCAAACCGCAGTCGACTACATGGCAGTCCAGCAACATAGCCACTGCGCCATTTGCTAGTCCCAACCACAGGGTGATTCTAAGAACAAACATGTGGATTAGTGAAAGAATCAGAGTCCAGAAATAGATCCACATAATTGATTTTATTTTTTTAAATAATTACCTAATTTTATTTATCATCATTATTATTTTTTAATTTGCTAGAAGGCACGTGTGCTCCTGATAGAGAGAAAAAGAGAGAGAAAGGGAGAAAGCTAGCCACCAAGTCCAGGACTCAAACCATGGTTGGTCATGTGGAAGTCCAGTGCCTTAACTATCATGCCACCTGCTGGCCCCATAACTGATTTTAAATGGAAGTGCCAACATGATTCAATAAGGAAATAACTGTCTTTTCAGCAAATGTTTCTGTAGTAACTAGATTTATACACTTGGAAGTTAATGAACTTCAAGCATTACCTTATAACATATACAAAAATTATCTGCAATAGATTATAAACCTGAGTATAAAAGATAAAACTATAAGATGTTTAGAAGAGAGAAGAAAAATATTTTGTGACCTTAGGGTAGACACAGACTTCTTAGATAGGATTTTTATGTTCTTTCATAAAATTATAAAATAAAACACTCATTAATCGGCCACTATCACAATTTTAAAACCTCTCCTCTTCATAAAATGCTGTTTAAAAATTTAAAAAGACACAGTATCAATTGGAAAAAATATCTGCAATACATATACCTAATACAGAACTGGTATTCAAAATATATAAAGAACTATAGTTCAATAGAACGACTATATATGACACAATTAAAAATAAGCAAAAGATTTTTTTTTTTGAGAGGTTTTTGCTATAGGGTATATGCACTCGCCAGAAAGACAGAGAGAGACAGAGAAATAGAAAGTGAGAAATCACCCCCCAGGGGGGATGGCCATGCTGCAATCCCCTCTCCTCCGTTCTCCTCTCGGGAACTTGGGCACACACACACACATACCTGCCGTGAGTTAAAGCCACTGGGTCTGGGACTCGAACCGCCGTCAACTACATGGGAGTTCAGCAACATAGCCATTACACTAACTGCTGGCCCCAGCAAAGGATTTGAATAAATGCTTCACAAAAGACATACACAAATTGTTAATGACCACATCAAAGCTCATTCATTGTGAGGCCCAGCAGGTGGCATGGGGGTTACAGGTGGTGTGGTGGTTAAGGTGCTGGACTGCCACATGGCCAACCATGATTTGAGTCCAGGACCTGGCAGCTTGAAAATCACATTGGTGCATGTATGTGTGTGCCTAATATCCAGGAGGACAATGGAGAAGGGATTGTGGTATGGCCATTCACCCTGGGAAGTGATTTCTCACTTTCCCTCTCTGTCTCCTTCTGGCAAGCACCCAAGCCCTAAGGCAAAACAAACAAACAACATTGTCATTAGACACCCTCAAAAGGCAAAACTATAGTGAAATACCACCATGTGCCTACTAGATACACATTGGCATTTACTTCACTTTGTCTTTGGTTTGAGTGCTTGGCCCAACTCAAAGTCTGATCACACTGAAAAAATTACACACTGCGCACACTGGAGCTGACGTCTTGTTAGTTCTCTATGTACTGTGCTCAGTGTTTCCAACTACCCATCATCCAGCTGTTTGTGATCCTATAAATCAATTCCATTTGATGATTTTAAATGCTCAAATTGGTTATATCTGTATAAAATTCTTTTTTTTTTTTTTTGAATTAACAATTCACTGTAGTCTCCAAATTAATTGATCTCCGCGGGGAAGAAATGAACAGTAAATCTTCTGCACTCCAGTTTCTTCTTTCACTCTAATTGACTGAGCAATAAAAAAAAGACAGCTCAATAAGAGAATAGCAAATAATTATAATAGCACCAATTGTTCTAGTGTACTCCATTAAAATATGAATCTCTTAAAAATCAGAAAGCAAATGGCTTTAAAATACCTGTACTTTCTGTTCCGCACCTACAGTTCTTCTAGGGGAGTGGTTTCGGAGTTGCTTACTCTCTTGAGATTCACACATCTCTCCTCTAAGTCTCTCAACCTTCAATATAAAAGTAAGCATCTAGTAGACTTCTCAATTGTTGTTTGGCTACATTATTATTTTGTTTATAAAATATAAAAGCAATACATAAATACAAGGAATCTTCAAAAAAGCTCAGGGAAAATTCATATTATGAAAAACTATGTATGGTTTTCAAAATTTTTTGCACCAAAATAAACTTATACTTGAATTTCATTTTTCCACAAACATTCTTAATCCTCTTCATATCCTCTCCTTGCAAAACTTTAATACCATGTATGTATTGGGCCATTGGGAAAATCATGACACACTTTTGTACAGAAAAACATAGAAAAATACGTCATGACTTTCCTGACAACCTAATTAAAATATATGTTTAAGATGCTGATATTTTATATTTAAGTAAAAAGTAGTAGTCTCCTTTATATCACAACCCTTCTTCCCTTTCGAAAAGTAACAGCGCTTGGCAGTGCCCTTCTTGAACTTTTTCACACATATGCACAAACACACATTAAACATGCATATACATAGATGTTTGTAAAAACTAAGAAAACGTGGACAATCTTCATTTGTTAATTCATTCTATTTTATGATTATATTTTTTATTTATTATGCTAAAATGTACATAATACAACATCTACCACATTTAATATTTTTCTGTGATAGTTCAGTGGCATGAAGCATAGTAATACCGTTACACAACCACTACCTCCACCCATCTCTAAGATCCTTCCCATCTTTCACTGACACTCTATACCCATTAGATAACTCCCCATTATCCTTTCCTCCCAGCTCCGGGCAACCACCGCTCTACTTACGACCTTTATGATTTTGACTACCTAGGTACCTCATAGAAGTAGAATCATATACTAATTGACCTATTATGACTGGCTTATTTCATTTGGAATTGCATCTTCAAGGTTCGTTTTATATTATGAAAATTCAATTCAGAACTTCCTTCCCTTTAAATGCCAAATGATACTCCACTATATCTCTAAATGACATATGTCAGTGGATACTAGATAGCCAGATGTTTGAATAAAGCTACTATAAGCATGGGTGCACAAATACATGTTAGGTTTTCTGCTTTGAATTCTGGGTATATACCCAGAAGTAGAACTGACAGAGTGTATAGTAATTCTATGTTTATTTATTCATTTTTTATTTTGAAGAATTGTCATACTGTTTTCCACAGCATCTGTATTATTTTACATTCACACCAGCAATACACAAGGATTCAAACTTTTCCACATTCTCATTAACATTTGTTTTTTTTTGTTGTTGTTTTGATAATAGCCATCCTAATGAATATTTATTCATTTTTATAACAAATTTTTTTGAGCAACTAGTATTATGCCAGGCATTATTAGGCACTAGAGCTATGACTGAGAAATGAACTAAAATTGAAGAGTTATCTATATAATATATCCAGAACTTAAAAATAAAAAATAATAAATTGCTAGAAAAAAATGGTTAAAAAAAAAAAAAAAGAGCACAGGGGCCAGCAGGTTATGTGGAGGTTGAGGGACTGGACTCCTACATGGTCGACCACGGTTCAAGTCCTGGACCTGGTAGCTTGCTTTCTCAACCCCTCTCCCCCTGGTCAAACTGAAAAGTGACAACAATAAATAAAATAAAATAATTCTTTAAAAAAGAACACAACTAAAGATTTAGTATTAATCATATCAAACTTATTTAGTAGTCATATTTTATATTTGGTAAATTGTGTTAACTATGAAATATGATCTAAATGTTTACTGAAAAGAAAAGATCCTAGACTTTTTTTTTAAGAGGTTTTTGCTATAGGGTGTGCATTAGCCAGAAAGACAGAGAGAGACAGACAGAAAGCAAGAAATCACCCCCCAGGGGGGATGGCCACACCGCAATCCCTTCTCTTCCATTCTCCTCTTGGGATCTTGGGCACGCACGCACACACGCCCGGCATGAGTTTAAGTCACTGGGTCCGGGACTCAAACTGTGGTCAACTACATAGGAGTTCAGTGACATAGCCATTATGCTAACTGCTGGTCCCAAGATCCTAGACTTATACAATAGCAGTAATGTTACTGTGTAGCATAGGTAGTTAAAATATATAAAATATAAATATAGATATAATGCATCTAGGTCAAAATATAGTATCTACCAGGATGTTACAATCATCAGTGAGTCCTCGCTAATGACTGACTTAGGCAATGTGTATCTATGTTGCCCAAGCTGCCAATTGCTGTACACACACTTAAAAAAATTCTAAGAACAAACTAAATAAAACTTACCTTTTCTTCAAGCACTTTTTTTTCCGAGTCAAGTAATCGGACTCGATTTCTTAAAGCCAGAATTTCCTCATCTAGTCTCTGATTACGTTCCTTTGCTTTCCGGAGGTCAATTTTATCTAATACAGAGGGAAGAATAGTTTACTCAACTGGATCAAAGTTTTCTATTTTTGAGAGATTTTTGCCATAGGGTGCATGCACTATCACTCCTCAGGGGGATGGTCATGCTGCAATCCCTTCTCTTCCATTCTCCTCTAAGGATTTGGGGCATGAATCCACACACTCCCAGGGTGAGTTTCAAGTCACCAGGTCTGGGACTTGAACCTCAGTCAACAACATGTGAGTCCAGAGCCTTAACCATTATGCCACCTGCTGGCCCCCAGAATCAAAGTTTTAATTTGGGGGTAATAACTCAAAAAGCTAAGAAAGTGCTATTTGCTACCCTCCTGTCAATGCTACCCTACCATGTCTCTGTGTTTGTGGTGTTTTGCATAAGAAAGTTTCTAGACTCTCAAATCCAATCTGCAGAAGGGATTGTGACATGGCTATCCCACCACGGGAGGTGATTTCTTGCTTTCTGTCTCTTTCTTTCTCTGTGTCTCTGGCAAGTGCATGTGACCTATAGCAAAAATCTTTCAAAAAACAAAACGAAACAAAACAAAAACATAAGAAGTTGGGAAGTATTCTCTCTTCAATTTTCTGAAGAGTTTACATAAAGTCAGTATCATTTATCTGTTAAAAATGTGTTAAAATTCACTAATAAAGTCACTTGAGCTTAGAGTTTTCTTCAAAGGTTTTTAACTTTTAAAGAAATTCAATTTCTTCAGTAGATTAAGGGCCATTTTCTTATGAGTGAAGTTCAGTAGTTTGTATCTTGCTAGAACGTGTCCAAGTTATCAAATTTACTGGCATAAAGTTAGTCATAATAGTCCTTCTTATTCTTTTAGTCTTTAGCCATGTTCTGACATTTCCTTTCTTAGTAACTGTATCTTCTCTCTTTTTCTCACGATCATCTACAATGGTTAGACATTTACCAATGTTGGGCTGACCTCATAGCCTAGTGGTTACGAGAGCTGGATCCTGCATGGCTGTGTTCAAGTCTAGCCCCAGAGGCTTGAAAAACATGTCAAGCTTGTGCGTGTGGACCCCAAACCACCAAGATGGAGAAATGGATGAGAAAGGACTGTGGTGTGATCGTGCCCATTGGGTGCCCCCTCCCTCTGTCTCTGTCTACTCCTGGGTGAATGCATGTGCCTTGTGACAGTATTTTTTAAAAAGAGAAACAAACAAAAAAATAGAATAGAAATTTATCTCCTTCTGAAGAACCAGCTCTTGCTTCAGCTGATTTATTCTGTTGTGGTTGTTTTTAGTTTGATCGATTTCCTTCCTTCCTTCCTCCCTTCTTTCCTTCCTTCCTCCCTCCCTTCCTTCCTTCCTTCCTTCCTTCCTTCCTTCCTTCCTTCCTTCCTTCCCTCTCTTTATTTCTTTCTTGTTAGAGGGTATATGTGCTCTCCAGAGACAGAGAGAGATAAGGAAGGGGGTATGGTGACACCACAATCACTTTTCTTTCATTTCTCTAACCCATCAGGATTTGGGGCATGCATGCACACATGTTCCTGGCATGTTTTTCAAGCTGCTGGGGCTGGAATTCAAATCATGGTCAGCCATGTGTGATGTGGCTCTCTTAACTACTGTGCTATGAGACCAGCCCTAGTTTTCTTTTATAAATAATTATTTTATTTGACTTTATTTATTCATTCATTAATTTTAATTTGACCAGAGAGGGACAGAGTAGGGGTGGGGAGTGAGAAAGCAAGCCACCAGGTCCAGGAGTTGAACTGTGGTGGGCCATGTGGGAGTCCAGAGCTCTTAACCACCACGCCACCTGCTGGCCCCAAGGCCAGCCCTAGTTTTACTGTTTTAACTCTTATTTGAACATCTCATTCCTTCTTCTTTTTTTTCTTTTTTTTTTTGGAGAGGTTCTTGCCATAGGGCACGTGTGCTCACCAGACAGACAGAGACACAGAGAGACAGAAAGTGAGAAATCACCACCCAGGGGGGATGGCCACACTGCAATCTCTTCTCCTCCATTCTCCTCTCGGGATCTTGGGCACACATGCACATGCACCCGGCATGAGTTTTAAGCCACCAGGTCCAGGACTCAAACCATGGTTGACTACATGGGAGTCCAGCAACATAGTCATTACACTAACTGCTGGTCCGGGTCCGGGACGTGAACCGCGGTCAACTACGTAGGAGTCCAGCGACATAGCCATTATGCTAATTGCTGGTTCCCCATTCCTTCTTGATTTGGATTTAATTTGCTCTTACAATGAATTTTAAGGTAAAAACTTAGATTATTTTAAGTCCTTCCTTCTTATCTAGTATAAATATCAAATACTATAAAATTCTCTCTAAGCATTGATTTGGCTGTGGTCCACAAATATTTATATTGTTATGTCTTAGTCTTCTTCAATTTAAAATGTTTTCTAATATCTCTTGTAACTATTTATTCTGAAGACAAGGGCTATTTAGAAGTATCTTGTCTAATTTCCAAATAGTTGGAGATTGTCAAAACATATGTCTGCTACTGATTACTAGTTTAATTCCGTTATGGTCAGAGATCATAATTTGTACAATTTTAGTTCTTCCACACAGATTGCTTTATGGCCTAGGATGGTCATTCTCAGCGACTGTTTCATGGGTACATGAAGAGAATGTGTATTATAATGGAGTTCATTAAAAATATCAACTAGGACATGATGATTGGTAGGTTTTAGGTTTTCTATATCATTAGTGATCTTTTTTTGTTTACTTGCTCTATCAATTACCAAGAAGACAATATTTATTCCATAGTTGTATTCATACATTTTTGAAAGGAGAATATGTGGTATGTATACCTTTTAGAGTTATTTGAAACTGGTAAACATAGTTTTAATGAGTTTTATAGTTGTTACCATTAAAATACTCAAATTCTGTTACATGTTTTTGTTGTATGTGTTTTTGTTTTTGTTTTTTAAGTTTACTTTTATCTTCCGAGAGTGAGAAACAGCACCCGACCATCTGGACACCACAATCTACCTCTAGCTTCAGCCAACCTGGATCACAGGCACGTGTCTACCCTGCATGCTCAGGAAGGTCTGAACCAGAAACCTTCGCATGTGGGCTTGCTTGCAGAGTGTCATACCTCACTGCAGCTCCATCATCCAACCCCTGAACGTTATTATGGTATTGATAGCTGGTAGCGTTTTCATATGGTCAAGCTAGGGTCAGATGAACTAAATCACCATTGATTCCAAGCCTACTGGCTTCTCAATGAGCAAGTGTGTCTGTAGTATTCTTAAATGCATTTTAAGGTGTCTTAGACTCAGTGGTTCCAGTAAAATATATTTTATGTTGATCACAGGTTTGGGGGTCAGAGATACAAGGATTCAAATACAGGCTTTGATACTTAACAAAGCTATTGGATGACGCATTTAACCTTGTCGTAACTCAGTTTCTTTATCTATAAAGTGTACTTTGCCAATAGCTGCTAGAAATAGTGACATTTCAGAAATAGTTTTTTATATTGTTCAAGATTATCTGATGATGGCATAGAGCAGGATAATAAGAACCAGCAGGTGGCATAATGGTTATATCACCGCGCTCCAACATAGTCGACCACAGTTCAAGACCACGACCCAGTAGCTTAAAACTCACACTAGGTGCATGCGTGTGCATGCCCAAGATCTCAAGAGGAGAATGGA